GCAGCTACCCAGGTACCTGTATCCCTATTTTTATTTAGAGGACTCCCTGTCTTCTCTGCAGCTTGGGAACCCTGTAGTCTGCGCATCTGGTGATGGATCTTTCAAGTCCTTCCAGAAAGGTGAGTGGGCCAGAGCTCCCAATTGATCTCTGCTTCTGGCATCCTAGCCATCCACGTCCTGGAATTCAATGAATGACAAATTCTCCTCCAACTCAGGCCATCATGGCATTTTTATGGAGGGACAGATCAAGGGAGAAATGGGTGGGAAGAGGGGAGTAGGAAGGTCCTGGTGGGGTGGACAGAGGCTATCACTAACAGAGCACTTAGAGGGAAGGCTGTTACTAGCAGAGGGCCTGTTCCTTCCCTATTAAAGGTGGGAGCCCTGGCTGGTGTGGCTCAGTGGATTGAGTGTGGCCTGTGAACCAGAGGGTCGCTGTTTCGATTCCCAGTCAGGCTACATGCCTGGGTTGTGGGCTGGGTCCCTGGGAGGGGGCGTGCAAGAGGCAATCAAACATTGATGTTTCTCTCCCTCCCACTCCCTTCCCGTTTCTAAAAATAAATAAATAAAATCTTTAAAAAATAAATAAATAAAGGTGGGAACTCCTCATTCTGTTCCCAGGAATGTCCTAAGGCCCTGGGCAGGGCAGGCTTCATGGCTGCGGGACTCACAGGATTGCTTCTACTTCAGGCAGTTTCTTGGGCATCAGGTGAGTGAGTCAAGGAGGAGAGAGGTAGCACCAAGGCTCCCTTCTGCCTCATGGTACTTTGGTATCCTTCTGGCAAACTGGTGGTGGGCTTCAGTAGGTGCTCAGCAAATGCTTTTGAGTGACGGAAATGAACTTGAGATGGGGGTCCAGCAAGAGGATTTTGAAATCCATGTTCAGTCCCTCCTGACCAGTGTGTTGTCCCCCAGCTTTGTCATTCAAGACTTGCCTCTCCCTCCCTCCCAGGCGCCCACCCCTGCAGCCCTAAAAGCTTTGGCTACAGCTCCGTGGTCTGTGTCTGCAATGCGACGTACTGTGATTCCCTTGATCCCCTGACCCTGCCTGCCCCCGGCACCTTCACACGCTATGAGAGTACACGCAGCGGGCGCCGAATGGAGCTGAGTCTCGGGACCATCCAGGCCAACCGAACAGGCACAGGTACCCACTCCACCCTCCACCCTGAACCAGGCTGGGGTCCTCCTGAAGCTGACTCATGCCAGTGGTCACGGGGTTTCTCCCTTGTGCACTGACATCCTCGATTTCCTGCCTGTGTTCCCAGGGCTGTTACTGACTCTGCAGTCGGATCAGAAGTTCCAGAAAGTGAAGGGATTTGGAGGGGCCATGACAGATGCTGCTGCTCTCAATATCCTTGCCCTGTCACCCCCTGCCCGGAATTTGCTACTCAAATCATACTTCTCTGAAGAAGGTGAGGAGGAGAGGGACAAGGTGCCATAGTGCAATTGACTTGGACATGTCCTTGGACCCTGACTTACACCCATCCCTGACATTTGGGTCTTCTCTTAATGCTCAAATAAGTGAGATTGTCCTACCCGTCTTCCACCGAGTGGTCGGGGACTCGCAGGCGCAGAAGGCCTGTGTTTCACCCAGGTGAAACACAGAATCACCTGGCACCTCAGGCTCCAACCCAGGAGCCCAGACATAGTTTAGGACTGGTGAGTGGTGGGCCAGGTCCCACGTTCTTCTGTTGAGTCAGACTTCCAGACCTTGGTCTTTTCTGCAGGAATCGAATACAACATCATTCGGGTACCCATGGCCAGCTGTGACTTCTCCATTCGCACCTACACCTATGCCGACACCCCTGACGACTTCCAGTTGCACAACTTCAGCCTTTCAGAGGAAGATGTCAAGCTTAAGGTGAGCACTCTGGCTTCCTCAGGCCGTGGTGGCATTGATGCCCAGTGTTTGAAAAGCCTCAGGCTAGAGAAGTCTGCAGAGAGACAGAACTTGGCCCCTGTTCTTTCTGTTTTGTGCTGGGGGTGGGAGGGCGGGAGGCTAGGCTTGATGCACTGGTCGGGCCAGTCAGCCTATGTTCCAACTCTGTGTGTCTCTCTCCTCACTACCTTTGTTTCTAGATACCCCTGATTCATCAAGCCCTACAGATGTCCCAGCGCCCTGTCTCACTCTTCGCCAGTCCCTGGACGTCACCCACTTGGCTCAAGACCAATGGGGCAGTGAATGGGAGGGGGTCGCTCAAGGGTCGGCCAGGCGACCTCTACCACCAGACTTGGGCCAGATACTTTGTCAAGTAAGGGAGCAGCAAGGCTGTGGGATCCGTATTGGCAGGGTCTGTGTCTCAGCCTGACCCTGCTCATCTCACCTTTCTACCTTCTGTGCCTTTCAGACTTGGACCCCTAGTTTTCCCCACCTCATCGGGCCTCCTATTCCTCAGGGTCTTGGTTCCCTTTCTTGGTCATAGTCAAATATACTCTTCCCCTGCCAGGTTCCTGGATGCCTATGCTGAGCACAAGTTAAAGTTCTGGGCAGTAACGGCTGAGAATGAGCCTTCCGCTGGGCTACTTAGCGGGTACCCTTTCCAGTGCCTGGGCTTTACCCCTGAACACCAGCGAGACTTCATTGCCCGAGACCTGGGTCCCGCCCTGGCCAACAGTACACACCGCAATGTCCGTCTCCTCATGCTGGATGACCAACGCTTGCTGCTGCCCCGCTGGGCCCAGGTGGTAAGGCCCAGGACCTCCATGGGCACACCAGTGACCCTCAAATTCAGAATCCCAATGACTGGCTTCAAACAGAAGGCCCTCCCTGCCCCAACTCTCAGTTGGATTCTTCGAGCTCCCTGGGCTGGAGCCACCCCCTGGAGTGTTGGGGTGGTGGTGACCCCCTCTGGATCTCCAGGGTCCCAGGGATCCTCGGGATTGTTACTTCGACCTCCTCTAGTTGCATCTATCCACTGCCCACTTCCCTGGTCCCCTAGTGACTCTTCCAGAACCCTCTGCACAGGGGTCAGGTTCAGTGGCTCCCTTTCCCCAGTTGTCCTTCCCCTTCCCTTACAGGTGCTGGCAGACCCAGAGGCAGCTAAGTATGTTCATGGCATCGCTGTACATTGGTATCTGGACTTTCTGGCCCCAGCAAAAGCCACCTTGGGGGAGACACACCGCCTGTTCCCTGACACCATGCTCTTTGCCTCTGAGGCCTGTGTGGGCTCCAAGTTTTGGGAGCAGAGTGTGCGGCTAGGCTCCTGGGATCGAGGGATGCAGTACAGCCGCAGCATCATCACGGTGAGCCGCCTGTGTCCCTGTGCGCAATGCAGGCCATTGACTCTTCCGAGTCTCACCGGGGGCTGAAGACAGGCCCTCCTCTCCAACTTTTCCCCAGCTGGCTTGCTCCTGGGGACATTTTGGGATATCATGATTCCCTATCTTGCCTTCCCTTCACGGATCTGTACGTCCCATCACCCTTTTTCTAAATGCTTGGGTCTCAAGCAGTTAGAGCTGCCTCAGATTTGTCAGCTTCTCTCTTGATGTCTCCTTCCTCACAACCTCTCTCCTTAGATATTACGGATATAGAGCACTCCTCACAGTGCTGAGGCACTGTAGCCCACCTGTCTCATTAACTGCATTATCTGGGGACCCAGTGTGGAACCTTTGTCTCTGCCCTGTTCCTGCCCTAGAATCTCCTCTACCATGTGGTTGGCTGGACTGACTGGAACCTCGCCCTGAATCCTGAAGGGGGACCCAATTGGGTGCGCAACTTTGTCGACAGTCCCATCATCGTGGACATCGCCAAGGACACGTTTTACAAACAGCCCATGTTCTACCACCTTGGCCACTTCAGGTGAGTGAGTGGTGGGCGGGCACCCCCACTCCACACCAGGCCTAGCGTCTCGTGCCCTGGCCTTACGTCACCCCGTATGAGGGACAGGAAGGTGTGTAGGGTGGGAACCCTGGGAGAGGCACACCTGTCCCTCTTGCACCATCAGGGCAGGAAATGACTTGATGGCATCAGACAGGCCACACCGAATGCCGACGCTGGGGCTGGGAGGCAGGAGGGCAGGGCACGCCAGCAGCCGTACTTGAGACCTGGAGAATGAGGGCAGAGCTTTGGCAAGGTTTAGGAGGGGATGGCTTCTGAGTTGATGGGAGCTACCCTCGGGGCCAGAGGGGCTGGGTTGGGGTCCCTGATCATGCCTGTTTCCACTGCAGCAAGTTCATTCCTGAGGGCTCCCAGAGAGTGGGGCTAGCTGCTAGTGAGAAGAACGACCTGGATACAGTGGCACTGGTGCGTCCGGACGGCTCTGCAGTTGTGGTGGTGCTAAACCGGTGAGAGTGGCAGCAGGGCCTGGGGACTGGGCTGAGGACAGGATGGTGGGTTTGGCAGGGTCACACTCAGCTTCTCCTTCCCCCTCACCAGCTCCTCCAAGGATGTGCCTCTCACCATCAAGGATCCCGCTGTAGGCTTCCTGGAGAGTATCTCACCTGCCTACTCCATTCACACCTATTTGTGGCGTCGCCAGTGATGGAGCAGATGCCCAAGCAGACACCTGGGCTCAACCTGGGCATTAAAGGGACAGTCAGCTCACATGCTGTCTGTGGCTAAAGAGGGTACAGAAGGGTTGGGGTGAGCTTAATTGACGTAAGGCCAGGAGCAGTGGTTTGGGTGATTCACTCTCCCCTCTAGCTGGTGCCAGGGCCCGGAGGTCCCTTGGGAAAGGACTGGGAAGCCCTGGTGCCACCCCCCATCCAAACCCCTAAGCTTGTGTGTGTGCTCTGTGCTGGTTGCCTGTGGAAACTGGGCCCAAGCCCAGGGTGAGCTCACTGTCTGTATTAACTCAAGATGGGCGTGGGGGTAGGGTAAGGAAAGGAAGAGACTAGGAAAGCTGGACCCAGAACTGAGGACTGTTTGTCTTTCCTGGAGATGCAGAACTAGGCCCTTGCAGGAGCAATGTCAGCATCAGGGCGCAGGCAGCTAATTAGTCAAGGTGCCCCGAGAGCCCCTAGCCCCCAGCTAGGAAACAGTGGCCCCTTAAAGGACAGACTGATCCCAGTCAACGTGAGCAGGTTTATTGTGAGCGGGTGGGTGACCCATTTCTGGCTGGACTGACAACGGGGAGACACAGGGACCTCTGGAATGCATGACAGTAGAAAAATCACTCCTGGGAGCATGAGGGCAAATCATTCCTCCTCATCTTCCTCAGCCATGCCCAAGGCCCGTGTGCCTGGGGTCCGGGCAGGCGCTGCCCGCTGGATAGAGACAATGCCACTGAGCAAGGCGTAGCCCACCATGGCCGCCAGCCCCGCCAACACGGATAGGATCTGGTACCGGCGCCGGTACGGCTCCTCCTCAGTCTCTGACCCTACTGATGTCTGGCGTGGAGGCGGCATCTCAGCTGAGGGACAAGGAAGAAAGGTGGGCAAGGAGGCCAGTGCCTGGATCCCTGCCCACTCCCCCAAGGGCTGGCACCCACAGCCCTCGATCTGCCCCTTACCTCCATCCCAGGGAAAATAGAGGCTGAGAATGTGGGTGCAATAGGCACAGAGGTTGTGCAGCCCCCGCAGGTGGGCCTGGAGCTTCCCACTGGGCAGCTTTATCTGCAGCAGCAGGGCCAGGTAGCTAAAGACAAAGGCATCCAGGGAGGCGGGGCTGAAGCACAAAGAGAGAGATACAATGGAGGAGGAGGACTTTGGCAGAGTGGGTAGAGATGGTCGGAAGAAGATTTGGCCCTGGGAGGTAGGCTCTGGGCAGCAGGGACCACCAGGGTGGGAGAGGACACTGTTCTGGGCCTTGTGTGGGGAGGGCCCCTAGGTGGCGCCAGCCTGGCCCTGAATGGGACTCTATTTTAGGGCTGCATAAAGGGCACATTGAGCGCCCCACAGCCCTGCAGGCCCCTCCTGTGCCTGGCGGCCCTCCCACCCTCCTGTACCACTGAGGCGGCTCTGGCCCCACACACAGCCCCACTGTGACCGGACCCAGTGTCTATCCCGAGGACCTCTTGTCCAGAGCTGAGCCCACCCAGTCCCTGCAGCTACATCTGAACCTTCATCTTCTTCCAAGCCACCTCTAATTCCCCTGGAGTCAGACTCACGCGTCTCCAAAGAAGAATTTCTGAGAGCCCAGGCGCTGAGAGAGGAGGGTCAGGCATTCCCGAGCCTCTTGGTACAGCTACAGGGAGGACACAGGTAGGCTTGTGGCTTCCGGCACCATGCCACCTCCCCTTCCAGGCACTCCTGCTCCTGGCCATCAGCCCCAGGGCCCGTCTCATACAATAGCTCCCTATCCCAGAGGTACCTCCTTCTCCAGTTCTTCCTCATTCTCAGGCCTGTGCTCCCCACACAGCAGCTGCAGCCGCTCCATGTGTTGCCGCTGCATGCGGCCAGGCAGGAAGAAGTTGAGGGGAAAGGGCATGGCCTCTGCATACCACTTCCGGGTCACTTCCACATAGTTCTTGGCATCTATCCAAAATGTATGTACCTGGGATTGGGGACACAGGAAGGAATAGGCAAGTATGAACTAGTATACCTACCTGACAGGGTGGGCTTCTGATCCCCGTGCTGCTCCAAGGCTGTGGGTGGGGGTGAGGGGTTGGGTGTGTGTGTCCCTGGCCCCTTACCCCACTGGCCATGAACACTGGGAGGTCTGGGCACACTTACCAGCACTGGGAGCAGCTTCTCCTCCAGCAGAGACATGAAGGCCAAGGTGTCTGCCCCTTGTCGGGCAGACAGATCATAATCGGCATTGTACTTCTGCGGGAGAAATGTCCATAATGAGGTGGAAGCTGAAGGACTCCAGGGCACTTTCCCAGGGGCATCCTGTCTGCACCACCCTCGCTGGCCTCTGAGTGCAGCAGAGGTAGAGTAAGGAGTTTTTTTCCTGCTGAGGCCCCTTGGCCTGGGCACAGCTAGTAGCCTGTTGCTGTTGGCGGACAGCCTGGGCCTTAGAGACTCCTGGCTGTCAAGGTCCTACGCCCATTGCGGGGAGGAAAGAAGGCCTAGCCGCAAACCAGGAGCAGCTCCCAGAGTTTCCACGGAAAGGTGGCAACATGCCTGCCGACAGCAATTTTCTAACGGTAACTTCCCCAATCCAGGCACCGCAAAGCCAGCAAAGTGGAGCTCAGAGGCAGGCTGGGCCTCCATCCATGCCTCAGGAACTAGGGGCACCATCCTCATGCTCCTGGGACCCAGTGAAGCCAGGCCCAGGGCCCTCTGGCTTCTTCTCTCAATGTCCATCTTGGCTATTTCCTCTATTTCATTCTCTGGCCCAGGCCCCACCACCACCACACACACATTCCAACTGTACCCCCAGCTCTCGGGCTGCCTCATCTTTCTAGGCTCCAGTATCTGTTGCTTAGCAACTCCTTCCACATCCTGAGTAAGCTTTGTCCCCAGATGACCTCCTGAGCATGATCCTTAAATCTCTAAGCCTCATTTTCTCCCCTGTGGGATGGGGTACTAATCTCTTTCTCTCAATGTGGCTCTGTTAGGGAAAAACTCTGAAAACTGGAAAAGTTGTGCTTATATGTAAGTAAACAGCAGTGTCCCAGTCCCTGCCAGGAACTTTGGCTTTACCTGGATCCCCTCTCTCCATGCTTCTCAAGCCTGCATTAATTCCCCAGCTCCTTCATTTTGGGGAAAGTAGAAATGAAGAAGAGGGTCCCACTTCTGACAATATGTTCCCTTTTGGAATCAGACCCTAAAAGCTAGAAGAACCCTTGGAAAGCATCCTAGCTAATGCCCCTCGTTTTACAAATAAGGAGCTTAGGGCTCTGAGATGTTAAGTGACTCACTGAAGGTCACACAAGTCAAAGAGAGAGTGAAGGGCATAGCCTAGGCCTCCCCATTCTTGTAATGCTCCTCCAGCTTCCCTGCCATGGCTCTAAGCCTTGTCCACCCTGAGCCCCATGTCCTGTCTGACCTGGTCCCTGAAAAAAGGCAATAGTCTCACTTGCAAGGGTCTCATTGGAGCCAACTGCTCTCTTCTATATTCCTTTTCCTTCCTTGTGTCACCTGCCTGTTTATCTCTCCCTCTCCACCGGGCAAGCAGAAGGCCCCCAGATGCCCCCAAAGTGCCCCAGCTTAATCTCTGGCCTACTACTTATAGCATCATACCTACAACATGTGAGCCCTTCCCCCCACTGCATTGTGTTCCTTGAAGCACTGGGTCGCCTGCATCTAGCTTGGTATATACTTGGTACTCAATAAATGTGTTGCATTGAATTGACTGAACTTTTTTCCCTGGCAGCCCCCTTAGCCATGCCACCTACCTCTTTTCGAAGGTGGGTGATGATCTTGTGTGGTACCGAGATGACCTCTCCATGACTGGTTCGAAGGGCAGGCAAAGTCCCTGACATTGAGAAAGAAGTGTGCCCACCAAACCCTTAGCTATCTATCCATACACATTTAGACTACATTCCTGTCTGTCTCCTGTTTCTCCCCTATACATTCCCTTCCTCACCGCCCCCCTGGGCACTGGGTACCTGAAGGGCTCCGCCAGGGGTTGGTGATCTTGTGTACTTTGAGTGGGGCACCAGTAAATCTGGCATAGGTCTGCAGGGAAGGAAGCAGAAGGCAGAGAGAGGCCAGGGACATGGCCCCACAGGGGAATCAAGAAAAGAAATAATATATTGAGCCCTGGCTGGTGCGGCTCAGTGGATTGAGTGCTGGCCTGCGAACCAAAGGGTTGCTGGTTCAATTCCCAGTCAGGGCACATGCCTAGGTTGTGGGTTGGGTCCCTGGTGGGGGGTGCGCGAGAGGCAACCACACACTGACATTTCTCTCCCTTTCTCCCTCCCTTCCCCTCCTTCTAAAAGTAAATAAGTAAACATCTTTTTTTTTTAAAGAAAAGAAATAACATTGAATACCTTTTGTGCTATGGTCTATGCTTAGTACTTGATACACACATACACACAGAGGTGAACCTTACTGCGCCCACTTTACAACGAGCAACACGGGGCTCAGAGATTATGGACTGTCCATGGTCACAAGTCAGCTAGGAAAATCCATCTCCTCTCCTATCATCTACCTGGTGAAACTTATCCTCAGAAGGTTTTCTAATGAGTATATCCCTTTTCTTGGAAAAACTGACAGTGCCCTTTTTGGGCAGTCTCTGTGGCCTGTTTGTACTTACACCTTAGCACCTGAATGTTTTATTACATTTATTTGCTGACATTTCTGCCTTTCTGTAAACAATACCAGAGGGACCAAGTCTTACTTATTTTTGCATGGCAGTGTTTGGTATTTGGAAGAGGGCTAATACATGCTTGTTAAATGAAGGAGTGAATGAATGAAATGAACTAGTTTGACTCCAAAGCTCTTTCTACAGAACCCTGCTGTGGGCCTTTTGGCTCAATAAACAATAAGCTCAATAAATACTGTTTAGTGAGGAGGAGGAGGAGGAAGAAGGAGAGGAGGAAGAAAGAGAGGAATGCCAAGCCTGAGAACCCTGAGATTGTTCGGCTTTAGTAAAGATCTGTATGAAGAAACAACGCCCAGAGAGGAGAAGGAATAGTCCCAAGGTCACACAGTCAGTAAATGGAAAAGCAAGGACTAAAACCATATATCCTGAACCCCCGCCTAGCCCTCTTTTCATGGCGACACAAAACCTAGGTTTCTAAGGCATAGGGCACTGAGCCCATTCTGGCCTTGGACGCTCTGACTGCCTCAGTTTCTCCCACTTCGCCCGTTTGGAGGCGCCCTGGCAAAATTCAGTTGACCAGCTAGTTCGGGCCCCTTCCCTAGTCCTCCAGGGCGCAGCAGAGGGCGCCGGCACCACCCCTCACCAGTACCGCCAGGCTGTCCAGGTCCACTGACGGCAAACCCCAGCCCCCCGACCAGCAGAACAGCTCCATGGGCGCCGCCATCTTGCCCGCCCTCTGTCCCGGAAGCACCTCCCTCTGCACTTCTGTCAGCCCCTGCGCGGACCCGCCCCCTACCGCCCCGAGAGTAGCTACAGGAGGGCTGAGGGTAGCTTCAGGGGAGGTGTGTCTTCTCCTAGCCCTGAGGAGGCCTGGTGGCGGGGGCGGAGCTGAGGGCCTCTAGGGACGGCGGCCACCGCCTTATCCAGAGACAGCTCCCGAAGGGGGGAGGGGCTCTCGACCTGGGGCGCCTCGGAGGGTCTAGACGCCTGGGCCGAGAGGAGATTCCTAAACCCCCGAAAGAGTGGCAGGCCTGGGAGAAGGGGGTCTCGTGCGCCTGGGCTGGCCCTGGGGGTGTCTCGCAAATCTGCACGTGGCCTGGGCTGCTCTAGGGCCCTTCAGGCCTTGGCCCTGAGCCGGGGATGCGGGGGGAATCCCCCCGAGGCGCATGTTTTCCACAGCGCGTTATGCTTGGAGCAGGCCCGCGCCGCCTGTCGCCATGGAAACAAAACAGGGGCGGTGGCAGCCGCCAGAGCGAGGCCGGGCTAGGGACTGAGTGGGGGGAGGGGAGGTGGGGCTCGCGGGCTGTTGCCTTGGTAACAGAACTGAGGCGCCCCTCCGCTTCGTCGGGGTCATGGACTGTCAGCCAGTACCCCCTGGCGCTCCCAGTCTGGCCCCGTTTCCCTGATCCACTCCTGTCTTTCTTCTTACCTGATTTCTTCAGTCCGACCTCACTCACCATTGTTTTAGACTTTCCTTCCAGTTCTCCCATTGGACCCTTCCAGGTTTTCCTAGGAATGAGGGAAAATGGAGGCACGGGTACATGTCAGGGGACCCTTACCCTAATAAAGAGCACTTGCTATGTCAGAGCAGCACACTTCACTCCCTGTGGGCATCCTCTGGGCACGAGAGCAATCTCGTTTCCACCACTCCCTTGGCTTCTTATCATGCCAGCTGTGGAATAATGCCCACTGTCGGGCACTTTCCTGCCAGAGGTTTCTGCTTCCCCCAACTGACTTCCAGAAAGCAGCATTTGGTAGTGGCCCCCAACAACGAGGTGTCAGAAGAGAGGGAGGCAGCAGGATGAGAGGACCACTGGGAGAGGCAGAAGGCAAGGAGGCCTCCACACTCGTCCCCAGTGTCCTTGGTTCCTGGAGCTGGGGATGCCTCAGGGTGATTGGCAGTTCTTTGTTTCAGCCCCCCCTCACCCGGCCTGCTGCCCCCCTTCAACTCCCCCTTCCAGTCCCTCCGCCCCCCCCCGCCCCCCCCTGCTCTCTCCGCCTAGCCTTTTCCCCTCCCAGCCGCCTGCCTGCCAGGGTTAGTGAGCCGGCTGAGCGGTATGGAGACACAGGAACTTCGGGGAGCCCTGGCTCTTCTCCTCCTCTGCACTTTCACATCTGCCAGTCAGGACCTGCAGGGTAAGCCTGTCTCCAGCCTTTTCTACCCCTCTGCCTCCTCCCCATTTGCCCCCAGCCTAGTAGCAGAGAACATGTGGGCAAGGGGAAGGGAAGAGTCCTGAAATTGAGCCAGAGTGAAGAAATGGTGCATTACGGCCCTGTGGGAAGGAGTGAACACCAGAGGGTGATAGGTGAGTGGGAACTGGCCAGAGCAAGCATGAGATCAGGGCAGAGGACTCAGGAGCTGGATGGTAGGGCTGCCTGGCTGGGTCAGTGTCTGAGCATCCCCCAAGCCCCCCAGGAGTCTGGGAGAGCGGTGTGAAGGTGGGTGCACTGCGTGGTCCCCTCAGCTTCTTCGTCCCCTGGGCTGCTGGCTGCCTAAGGCCAGGGTGGGGGTTGGGACCCAGAGGTCTGGGCTCTCCGGGAGGTCTGGTGGTGGGATGGGCCTATGGGTGTGGGAGAGGTAGCTGGAGCAGATGACACAGGCACAGATTCTTCACTGGCTGAGAGGGAAACCACAGATTGGCCAGGACACAGGAGGCAGAGGAGCTGGGTCCTACATTTCCTAGGGAGAGAGCCAGACAGTGGGAGGGTCAGAGCCCTCAGTGGGCAGCTGTTCTCATCCAGAGTCAGTATGCTGAGCCCCCAGGATGGGAGGAGGGGCTTTAGGATGTAGAATGAGTCAAAGCCAGCAGTGTAAAGAGAAACCGCCTTCCAATTTCTGTGCTGTGGGCACCAGGTGCTACTGCTGCCTGGAATCAGCAGTGACTCCCGTGCGCCACCTGGTGGGAACATCTCAAGTGTGTAGGGCACTGTTTCTGCGTTTCCAAATGAGCCTCAAGCCTGGAGGTTGCCAAGAGGATGGCAGTAGTCAAGTGATGAGGGAAAAGAAGGCATAATACCTTGTCCTCTAATAGCAGTAAGGGTTGGATTTTGAGGTGACTCACACTGGTAGTGGGAGCGGAGGGAGTGATGAAGGATGCCCCCTCCAACCCGACCGGAGGTGCAGGGAAGTGGACAGGCTTTAGCATCTAACCCCTTTCTCTAACCTTGATAATCCCTGCCTGGCCAGTGATTGACCTGCTGACTGTGGGTGAGTCCCGGCAGATGGTAGCTGTGGCAGAGAAGATCCGGACAGCCCTGCTCACTGCTGGGGACATCTACCTCTTGTCCACTTTCCGCCTACCTCCTAAGCAGGGCGGTGTCCTCTTTGGCCTTTACTCTCGCCAGGACAACACACGATGGCTGGAGGCCTCTGTTGTGGGCAAGATCAACAAAGGTGACTGGTGGGCATCTCCTTTCCTGCAGGGGTTAACCCCTTGAGCACTCTCCCTTATCCCCACTCCCACATCCCTCTTAACTTTCCTTGGGCGCCACTGGGGACCATGGACCTATCAGGCTGTGCCCCAGCACCAGGGGCCACCTGGTATGGGGTGCTTAGGAGGTGCTTCAGAAAGACAGGCAAGAAAACACTAGCGTGAAGCCTGATATTTGTAGGGATGGGATGTTGTCCTTGGGGATGCCCTGGGGGAGGGGGAAGGCATGACATTGTGCCCCAGCGGGGGTATAGAGAGATCCCTCACATCCGTGGGACAGTTCAGAAGGTACAGAACCAGCTGCTACCTTGCAGGTGATTGAGTGATCTGGTGCCACTGAAGACTAAGAAAGTCCTAGTCTTTGAAACAATTTAAAAGAACATATATTGTGTGCCTGTTGTGGACAAGGTATTGAGAGGTACATAGCGAGTACAGGATAATAGCCCTAGATGTGGCATCCAGAAGAGTTGATCCAAGGCTCAACTGGGAGACAGGGGATGGGGGACGGTGCCCATACTGACCTCCCCTCCTGGGCAGTGCTGGTGCGGTACCAGCGGGAGGATGGCAAAGTCCATGCAGTGAACCTACAGCAAGCAGGTCTGGCCGATGGGCGCACACACACAGCACTCCTGCGACTCCGAGGCCCATCCCACCCCAGCCCTGGCCTGCAGCTCTATGTGGACTGCAAACTGGGTGATCAACATGCTGGTCTCCCGGCACTGGCCCCGATCCCTCCAGCAGAGGTCGATGGACTGGAGATTAGGACTGGACAAAAGGCCTATTTGAGGATGCAGGTGAGTTTCTGTGGAAACAGAGTTTGCACCAGTGGGAGGAGTTGGTAGGTCCTCCCACCCTATTCTGCTCCTATGCCCCCAGGGCTTCGTGGAATCTATGAAAATGATTCTAGGCGGGTCCATGGCCCGGGTTGGAGCCCTGAGTGAGTGTCCATTCCAGGGGGATGAGTCCATCCACAGTGCAGGTAACTCAGAGACTTCTGTTAGCTAAACCCCCAGAGCCCAGGCCATATCCTGTGGTCTTTGGTGATTCGCATCTTCTTGACCTCCCCCTAACACTCATTACTTTGGTTTACCTATTCCTGGGGCTCTGACCCTGTTTACCCCAAATCTCCTTCACCTCTGATTCTGATCTCCAAACAATAAAGCCATCCCAAAAGGTTCACCAAAAGATGTGGGTCAGAAAATCTCCCCGTTCAGGCCATCCTGCCTACCAGGGTGGCCAGAAACACACAACCACGAGAGACGAGACTGGAACTCTGAAGGACTCTGAGTGTGGTGAGGATGTTAAATGCTTGGCCTCGGTTTTGCCTGAGATCAGGGTCTTGGGTCTCTTTTTTATCTCTGTTGGTGGTGGTCACCTAAAAGCAGTTTCTCTGAGCATTGCCCATCTGCCTGGTCTTTCCGACACAGATGTTCAGAGGCTCTTACCTAAATAAAACAACCGCTTCTCCCAGATATTTCAAAGAAAGTGCTGTTGAGGTAGGAGCTTGTGAGGGAGGAGATGGAACATGTTGCAGCCCTGGCCCTGCTTTGGGTCACCTTCCTGGGACCCCTTCTCCCACCATCACGCCTGGGAACCGGAAGGGTTTGGGTTTTGGCCCTCTGAGGCAGCTCCCTTACAGGGTCCTGCACCCTGTGGAAAGGGCTAGGACTGCTTGCCTGTCACCTCTGACCTCCTACCATCCAACACCCCATCTTCATTCCAGTCCTTTTTTCCCCATCCCTGTCCTTCCTCTTCACGAGACAGGCCCCCCTTCACATCTCCACCCTCTGATTGTGTTTTCTTCTCTCTAGTAACCAGTGCACTGCACTCCATCCTAGGTGAGTGGGCTACAGTGAGGAAGGGGCATGAAGGTGGAGGGGAGGTCCCAGGCTTTGGCAGATGCCTGAGACTAAGTCCTCTGCAGCCAGGAACAGGGTGGAGTTTAAAGGTGGGGGGGGGGTGGTGCAGTAGTGGCGGGAGCTAGCTTATTATCTGAAGAGGGACCAGGGCTGGTGTCCCAGTTCTGAGCCCCTCTGCACCCTGGCCCCTGACAGGGGAGCAAACCAAGGCGCTGGTCACCCAACTCACCCTCTTCAACCAGATCCTGGTGGAGCTGCGGGATGACATTCGAGACCAGGTTGGAGTGGGCCTTCAGAGGGTAGCAGACTCGGGGGCAAGGTGGCAGATGCTAAGAGCTGGCTCCTCCCCATCCTTATGTCCACCAGGTGAAGGAAATGTCCCTGATCCGAAACACCATCATGGAGTGTCAGGTGTGCGGTGAGTGGGAGAGTAGAGGAGGGCTCCAGGTGGTATCACTGTGCTTC